GTTTGTTTAGCTTCTATAATTGAAACTTTGTTGCTTTCGGAGCTCAGAGCCGGGCCGCGGCAGGCGGGGAACCTTGGCTTCCTCCATCACTGGAGCAAGCAAGCCTCCTGCTCGCTTCAGCTGCATGGCTGCCAGCCGCCATCTTGGTTGGGTTAATTTGCATATCTCGCTGATTAGCCAATGGGAGGCGTAGCGAAGGTTCAATCAATTATCATGTTTGTCTATTATTAGATAGGATACCTATTATGTGTTTGAACTCAATCAAGTTCAATACTTACATTCAATTGCCCAAATGAGCTAACTGGTCTCACTTTATTTTTTTTTAATGTTTTCATTGATTTTAAAGAGAGAGGAGGGTAAAGGGTAGAGGTTAAAGGGTAAGGAGAGGGAGGGAGGGAGGGAGGGAGAGATTGGTTGCCTCCTCTATGGTCCAGGACTGCAACCTGGTCATGTGCCCTGAACCAAGAATCTAATCAGCGACTTTTTGACGCATGCAACGAAGCTCCAACCAACTGAGCCACACTGACCAGGGCTAACTGGTCTCACTTTAAATGACCACAAATACCCCTCAGCTAATTCACCAATACTACCACATTTCTCCAGTAGGTTAGCTTTCCCACACTTACCTTTGTCTCTCTTAAGGTCCCCTCACTCTGAGGTGATGACCCAATCTCATACTTCATAGAGAAAATAGAATCATAGGAAAAACTACCTCATCCTTCCACTGCCAACTTTATCAACTAATTGCTCTAATTAGCTGATCCAGGAGAGAAACAGAAAACAGTTTTTAGGAGCAAAGTCCTGGAGTAGGAGGAGAAGGGATAGGACAATTTTATCCTTTTTAATGATTTCATTCTATTATATAGTTTTAATAACATTTTTATTTATAATAGCTATTTTAACATTTTTATCTACTAATTCTATCACCTGAGTTCTATCTATGTCTTTTTATTAATTTCCCCTTAATTACCCATTATATTCTCCAGTTTCTTTGCATGCCTGCTAATTTTTTAATTGGGTCCCAAACATTAAACTTTGTTGTAAAAACTTTTAGTACTCCTTTAAACATTGTTGGGCTTTATTCTGGGACACAGTTAAATTACTTGAAATTAATGTGATCCTTCTGAGACTAGAGTTTAATCTTTGTTAGGGGAGTACAGAACAGTCTTTAGTCTAAAGCTAATTTGACTCTACTACTAAGGAAATAATCCTTCTGAGAACTCTTATCTGATGCTCATTATGTTAGGAGGGCTTTCCATTCCAGCTGTGAGTATACAACATACAGTATTTCCAGTCTTTTGTGAGCTCTGGGGACTGTTCCTCCTCCTTCCTTCCAGTTGCTTTCCCCCCAGCCTCAGGAGTTTCCTCATAGATCAACTTTCAGCTGAGACTTTAAGGGGATCTCTCTGTGCATCTCTTGTGCCGTACTCTGAAGCCACTTTAACCTCCCTTACTTATACTTGCAGCCTGGAAATTTTCTAGATAGTAACGAGAAAATTCGAAGGCTCAGCTTTGCTTCCCACCCCATTTTAGAACTTTGTAATTTTTAAAAGAAACCATTTGTTGATGCTCCAGCTCCCACCTTATTTTCTTTCTACTCCTTTTCATAGCAGAACTATTCCAGAGAGTCATCTCTATTTGCTGTGACCCCTTTTGCACCATTCATTCTTTTCTATTATTCAAATTGGACTTTTCTTCCCACCACTTAAACAAATTAAACAGTCACTTTCCCTTACTCATCTTTCCAGGGAACACAGTCAATATTCTTCCCCTCCTTGAAACATTTATCCTCATTTTCTTCCTACTTCACTAATAGCTCCTCTTCTACCTGAACTCCAGGGCACAGCTTTAAAAGTCATTTATACACTAAAGACTTTCAGATTATACACCTCTTGTGCAAACTGCTTTAATGCATTACATTCTTGCATATTCTAATTAAACTAGTGGCCCGGTGCATGAAATTCATGCGGGGGGGGAGGTCCCTCAGCCTGGCCTGCACCCTCTCCAATCTGGGACCCCTTGGACATCCCTCTTGCAATCCCAAACCGCTGACTCCTAACCGCTCACCTGCCTGCCTGCCTGATCGCCCCTAACCACTCTGCCTGCCAGCCTGCTTGCCCGCAACTGCCCCCCCACCAGCCTTCTCACTCCCAACTGCCCCCCTTTGCTGGCCTGATTGCCCTCAACTGCCCCCCCACCAACCTGATCACACCCAACCCCAGGCATTCCTGGCCTCATTTGAATATATCTCATTATTTAATCACTAGTGGCCCGGTGCATGAAATTCATGGGGGCGGGGGGGCATGTCCCTCAGCCGGGCCTGCACCCTCTCCAATCTGGAACCCCTCGGGGGATGTCCGACTGCCAACACAGGGATTGGGCCTAAACTGGCAGTCGGACATCTCTCTCGAAATTCAGGACCCCTGGCTCCTAACCGCTCACATGCCTGCCTGCCTGATCACCCTAACCACTCTGCCTGCTGGCCTGCTCGCCCCCAACTGCCCCCAACTGCACTGCCTGATCACCCCCAACTGCCCTCCGCTCCTGGCCTGATCACCCCTAACTGGCTCTGCCTCGGCCCTTCCACTATGGCTTTGTCTGGGCGGCAGCCACAGAGCCGGCTGGGGCGACCAAGGAACCCAATCCCCTGCCTCCCACCCACTCTGGCTGGCTCCGTGGCTCCGGCCGGCACCTCCATCTTTGTCACATCAATTTGCATATTCCCTCATTGGCTGTGGGTGCTGTCATCTTTATCGTGAAGCGACGGTTAATTTGCATATTACTCTTGTATTAGATAGGATATGGATGACTAACAGTCCATCCTTTCTATATCCTCCCTCCACTAATTTTCCCTATCTCAGTATGTGGCCCAATCACTTATCCATCCAGCTGTTCAAGGTAAAAATCGTTAATCTTTGATTCTTTTTCCCCATCTAGTACACTCAAATTGCTCAACAAGTTCTTTTGGCTCTACCTTCAAAATACACCTCAAATTTACCCATATCTCTTCATCTCCACACTAAATTAAAACAATCAACTTTCACTCTTGCCCAATATGACTCATTGTCCACATAAGGAGAATAATCTTAAAAAACATAATTCAGATCATGTCATTCCCCTTGCCTGAAACTCTCTAATGGCTTATTTCAAAATAATCAAAACTCCCTGTATTTGTCTACAGACATGGACCCCCTGACTACCTTTGGGTCCTCACCTCATACTATTCAACCCTTTTTTCACTTTGCTCTATTCACACCAGCTTTCTGTGCCTACCTCAGGCTCTCTGCATGTGGAAGTCTCTCTGCCTGTAATGTTCTTCATCCAGGTCTTCACAGGCTGGCTCATTCACACCCTTCAAAGTTCAGGTGAAATGTTCCTTGACCATATGCAAAGGAAACTATATTCTCCTCCTTCCACCTGAAATTCTGTATTATCTTGTTCCAAAGCCACATATGAGTTGTGTTATATATATATTTTTACTTTTATTCATTTGCCTTTTGTCTATATTTTCCCATTGGAATTTGGTCACTCAGTAAACAAACACTGAACACTTACCATGTGCCAGGCACTAATTCAAGTGCTGAAAACACATCGTGAATAAAACAGGCAAAATTCTTGCCCTCATAGAGCCTATGTTCTAGAATGTAAGACCTATGAAAAAAGGAACCTTGTTTATTCACTACTGTATCCATAAGGCCTTTATTTAACAGTCTTTGGCTCATAGCAAATACACAACAACTATTTGCTACAAAAGTGAATGAAAATGATTTGTCTGTATTTTCTCAGCCTTTGTACAACATACCTTACCTCAAACATCCCCACTGAACTTTTAGAATAATGATCAAATTATTCCTTTAGATCTCAAAATAGTCATATTTATATTTTGTTTCCCCTTCAGATTCTATTACCTTATGGGTAAAGCAGAAATTTGCAACCATCACTACAAAATTCTGGCTCTCATTTAAAATTCTCATAACACTAAAAGCATTCTGTGACTACTGCACCCATTTATATTCATTAAATCCTCTAGAAGAGGATTTAGTCACAATGGGTCATATTAGATTTATTAACTACACAACTTTATTTTTGATCTACCTACTACAGTGGGACTGGTGGATGAAATTCACTTTTTATATCTGCCACAATTTATAAAACGGAAACCAGCTATCCATGCACCCAGACTACTTCTTTGTAAATTATGTTCATATAATATGCAGAAGTCATTAACCAATTCAAGATTTAATGATTAATTATAAACACATAATACACATTTGGAAACAAATATACTGGTAACACAATATACCCAAAACAGGAAACGATCATAGTTCTACTTCATTTTGCAGTTAACAAAACCTGGATGAGTGGGAGCATGTATGCACAAAGTTTTGGAAGCAGGATGAGGTTAAGTCTAATAACTCCCAGTTTGATTCTTTTCCCAATTAAAAGTTATCTAAACTTAAAGACAATTTTTTATGACTATATCAATGCAACTCTTTAGGGACAGAGAACACATCTAACATGTTTATATCTGATGATCCCAAATACAAGGGACTGAATAAAATCAAGTAGTTTTTGAGAATCAACAACAAAAAAGGCCATTCTAAACATTCTACTAGTATTTGATAATGAAATTCATCAGTACTGCATATTTACATATACTGCCTTATACTGAAGTTCATTTAGTAAGAGTAACTGACTTGTCTAAGGCCTCAAAAAGTAAAAGCACATTTTCTCAGAGGATATGTATATATAAAATGTTTTTATTGATTTTAGAGAGAGAAGAAGGGAGAGGTAGTGAGAGATAGAAACATCAATGAGAGGGAAGCATAATCACTGATTGGCTGCCTCCTGCACAGCCCCTACTGGGAATTGAGCCCACAACCCGGGCATGTGTCCTGACCAGGAATCGAACTGGTGACCCCTTGGTGCAACCACTGAGCCATACTGGCCGAGCTGATTATGATTTCAAAATTAAAAGATGAACTCCAAAATAATTCATCCCAATATATGAAAACACTTGAACCTATATTAAATCACTCATAGGATATTTAAACTTCAGGTAATCTTTGCCTTGGATTCACTGCAAGGCCACATCCTATTTCTTCAGCCAGAACTTGCTCTACTGAAGGAAATTAAACCAAACTGATTTGCTTTAATAATCTGTTGCAAGATTCAGCAAACTATGTCACATGCATATTCAAAATTGAACCAAACTTATTAAAGATAACCTTCATAACAAATAACTAAGGAAGGACTTTATCTTTTAAAGAAGTGATTGTATCCCCATTCATCAAAGCTACAATTCCAGATAATGGGTCATATTAGATTTATTAACTACACAACTTTTGTTTTTCATCTACCTACTACAGTGGGGCTGGTGGATGAAATTCACTTCTTAGATCTGCCACAATTTATAAATGTACTGAAGATAACATAGTTTCAAAAAGTAGTTCTAGCAAGTTGCTTAAAACATTTGAATCACTTTACTCATTGATTTCCCCATAAATTTATCCTTACAGAAAAGTTACTATATTGTTAAGTCACACTTTAAGAGTTCAGGAGTTTACTTTAGAAATAAGACATATTCTGTCTAGTTTTGTTTCTGTGTTTTATACCACTTATGCACTTAAGAGACTCATAGTTCGTTTGATTCCCAAATCTTTTTTTCTCAAAATTTAAAAGATATTCATTTGATTTTTAGAGAGGTAGATAGGAAGGGGAGGAGGGAGGGAAAGAGGGAGAGAGAGAGAAACACTGATGTCAGAGGGGAACATTCTTCGGCTGCCCACCAGGGATCAAGCCTGAAACCTGGACATGTGCCCTGGCCTGCACAGCACGATGACCAATCGAGCCACACCAGCCGGAGCTGTGAGTTGACTTCTTTTAAGAAGTAAAATCACAAACTATACCATTATTTAATGGCATTATTGCCCTTTGTAAAATCCTACCTTCTGCTTTCCATTACTGTTTTAACCAATTACCAATTGCTGATAACAAGTCCCCTTAACTTTTCAGGAAAACTGAACCATATAATCAGAACCACACATTTATATATACAAACAAAAACTCCTGCCATTATATATGCACATACATACACATATTTCTTTACAATGACTACTACTACATACCATGATGTGGTAGAATGAAAAAGAAAACTGAAACCGAGTCCATAGTAGGAGTGGTTGGTTTAATATTTAATCCTAGCCACAAATTCATGAATTTGTAAGCACAGATTATTATTCCTTGTTTACAAATTTAAGCTACCCTATATTTAGATGGTACTTTTAAGTCCTGTTGATTAACAGAGAAAAGATAGTTCAGCACAAATTCCATTACCTACCACAAAGCACCCACAAACACCATTAGCTACATATAAGCCCATTAGTTTTCATTATTATTTTATAAGAAAATGAAAGTACAAATGGTACTAATCCAAATTTTTAAATATCAAATAGAACACTGAAACAAGAGCTAATATTAATACTTTAGGCACCCAAGTACTATAGTTTTCGAGAGGTTCCTTTTGTCTCTTCTTGAGCCTTTAATTTTTCAATTATCTTCTCCTAATTAAGTCCATGTAATAACTGCCATTCTGATAAAACCAAAGTAACTCCATTTGAAACTTCTAGGGCATAGATCTTTGAGCTTTCTCCATGCCTCCAGCCCCACCCACCAATTTTCCAACACTGAGAAATTGCTGACAAATATGAACTTTCTCCCTAGAAAAATATACCATCAAAAATTTTATATACATATTATGGTAATCATTTCATGTAACTCTCAAAACCCCAACTTAGAAACTTCTATTCAAAAATATCTTGGGCAGGGTAAAAGTTGAAATTAGATTTTATCATTGTTTCTCAATTACTTGTGATTTTATCTGGATTAAAAAAAACCTTGGTTTACAAAATCTTAAAGGAAATATATTAATTTCTTTCGAAAGTGAGAAATCAAACTTTTAAACTTATAACTTAAAGTAATTTAAACTTATTTTTATAAAAAACAAAAAACTAGATTTTTGTTGTTTTGAAAATGTAGTGCTTAACCATTTTTTCTCGTGTCAGAGATATGTACATATTTTCAATTTCCTCCTAATTAAAACAAAAACCACCTATCTGCTTTGTAAACGGTCCTTAACTTGGGTTTAATAAGATTGTATACTGGGCCAGTAATGAAGAATATAGTTTTAAGAGGAGAGAAAGCATAGCGTATGAGACTATTCCATCTAATTAGAACCAAATTTAAACTAGGTGTTGGTCTTTGACGGCTAGACCCCAATTCTAAGGTGGCTGTGTAGGGTAATATCAATGTGATACCATCAACATCTTAATTACATCACATAGCCTACCCAACCCAGTCTAAGCAAGGACAAGAACGGTTCTTCTCTGTCCCTTATAATAAATGCAGCCACATAGCCTGCATTCATCCCATTGAAATAAGTTCAACCACTCTAGGAACCAGGTAACTTCAATTTGTTAAATATCACTTTAAAACCAACATTTTCAGAATAATTTTTTAAAAGTTAATACTACTGACATCTTAGAAAAGTTTCCTTTCAATTAAAGGCAAAACTGTGGCACTAAACATTATTTAACACTTCTAATTTTAAAGTTAAGACCTTAAAGTTAAGATTATAATATTTTTAAAAAGTTAAAATATTATAACGGGGAAAAATATTATAATGGTGCAACATTTGCCCCCTCCCCAAATGCTTTAACCTCTGTCCTTTTCACCCCTAAAGGGACTCATTTATCTCATATTGACATCTGAGTCTACTGACTTCCTATGATTTGAAAATTACTCCTGTTAACTCATTAAATTAAAACCTTCAACTGTTACTTTTTGATTTACCAAGTTACAACACATTACATCAATTCAGACATTTAATCCCTATCATCTATGATCTCGATCAAGTCCCTCTATTATAATCTGAAATTACTTTTCAATTCTACAACAACAACAGAACACTAATAACTAAATTCCAAAGTTGAGAAAAATTCATTTAGGGGGGAAGAGGAGAATTCTACTTAGTTTCTTAAAAATTAAGAAGCATGCCCTAGCTGGTTTGGTTCAATGGATAGAGCGTCAGCCTGCGGACTGAAGGGTCTCAGGTTCAATTCCAGCCAAGGGCACATGCCTGGGTTGCGGGCTTGATCCCCAGTAGGGGGCGTGCAGGAGGCAGTCAATCAATGATTCTCTCTCATCATTGATGTTTCTATCTCTCTCTCCCTCTCCCTCTCTAAAATCAATAAAATATATTTTAAAAAATTAAGAGGCATGCCTCATTATGTCAGTGTATTAAGCTTGTATTATAAAAATTGGTTAAATGGGAGTACATTAATAAGTGTTATTTTCCCAGTGTTAAGATGTAGAATTTCTGTCAAGTTTACCATAGAAACAAAATATGGTAGCAATTACCATATTTTAGGTATAGCTCACTTGACAATTTTGCAGATACATTTTGATCATGAAATGCTTTCTTAATGAGGTGGTGTACACAAAACTTTCCTCATCTAAATCTGTCCCACCTTTGATCAACATTGGATTATGGGACATTCGATTCAGGTTCTGGGTCACTCCTACCTAAAAGACACCATAACCAATGTGTCAATCAAAGGCAAAAGTTTGTTTTAATCCTTTGTCTTTGTAAGAAGTATATCATTGTATCAGCAAATTATCAAAAAGTTTTTTTTTTCCTAAGGTTGACTCAATTCAATGACCTTTATTCTTAGTATACATTTTCATAATTGTGTAACATGCTACTTTCATTATTGTGATTTATATAGCCATTAACTACCAGCATGAACCACAGGATTGGAAAGCAGCTGTTTAGCTGGTACTGTTCACATTCTTCTATTAAGTTCATTATCTATTCTTGAGGTCTATGCTTCACAGATCAGAGTTTTAGTTGGATGTGAAGTGAAATAAATTCTAAACAGATGACAGAAAAAGGTTGTGTGAAAAAAAACACCCCTCATGTCCCTCAAAAATAGGGTCTCCACATGTTACAAACTAATGATACCTATTGCACTATAAAATTCAGAATTATTTCAGTGCACAAGAATTATCTGTAAAATTTAAAAAGCATATTGATACTTCAGCTGAAGTCAACTCTGATTTCAGACTGTTGCTCTTGGGATTGCCCAAGACTTTTAACTAAAGCTCGACTTAACTAAATGTGTACTACAGTGCTATATTGCTTTTATCAAGGCTCTTCCCTTCCTTGGCTGCAAAACAAGAACTACAAATTAATTTCCAGGGCAGTGTAACTGCAACACCCCAAATTTAAAGTATTATCTGTAATAAACTTATAAACAGAAACAAAAATAAAACCCAAAGACAAGATTCTGCAGTCACAAGTACTTTAATTTTTAAAAACAAATCACTTATTTAAAAATAAACAAATGGCACCATTCTACACTAAAGATACAAGTAAAATAAAAGGTTCTATCTCATAATGTACTGACAATCTCCACTACTACATACACTTATTTTGCTTACCTGTAAAGTGATATTTAAGACACTACTCTGAAAAGTAACATTCGACTGTCATACTGTTTTACTTTAAAAGGTTAAACAACCCAAACAGTTTAAACAGCTTTATTTTCAAAATCAACATTACAGAGTATAATTTCTACATTTAAAATTCTTACAGTACCAAATAGAGGTATTACAGTACAATTTTCCACAACAAAATTGTAGGGCACAAATCCAGCGATTCCTCGACTTCCTTGAACTGTCAATACACTGCACCCTGTTTAAACGGCTGTACCTGAAAACCAAGGTATGCAATTCCTTAGGATTAGAAGTCATCAAGTTATACTGTCAAGGATCTGGGGGAAATGAGAGGAAGATTCTATTATCCTTGTGTGTGAACCCAACTTCCACGACAAGGTAAAGCCACAGCTATGACGCAATGTCTATTAGCTGTAAATATTTAAATACTGAAACCCATCCTAATTAGACATCTTAACATTAAGGTTGCTTTAGCAAGGTTACGGATAAGAAAGGGTCCGTTTTGAAATTTAGATCTGTACTATCTACTTGAAAGTGGGTGTTTTCTCCCCCGTGATGAGAAATTAGCACGCGAACTTAAAACTTTACTTAAAAAACACACAAAACGAAACCTGATAATAAAATTACAGGTTTTAGACGAGCCACGTACTAATAAAAATACCTGCAATCATCTGCAACATATTCTCAAGGATCAGAGAAAAACTCAGAGACAGTAGTTTATCATCCTCCCACTACCTAGAACTGGGGGGGGAATGGATGCAGAAGTGCCAAGTATACAGAAAATCTGCTTTGAAAGAGTCGTCGGGGCAAACATGCAGTCCCTTCAACACTTGGTTGCAGGGGCGATAAAGTCTCAAAGACCTGCAAGCAACATTGAAGCCTCCGAAGGCTCCACAAGGGGCCCCACATTTCCAGGCCACCAGGAAGTGAAACGCCCCCTCGGTGCACAGAACCTGAGCTCACAGGAGCCAGAGGCGCGCGAAAGCCGAGGCGGCCCTAGAGCGCCACCCAGTGGCCCGCGAAGCGGCCTGCAGGCGGGTCCTCCTCACACCCGGCGCGCCGCACCCCCACCGCGACCAAGCCCGTTCCCGTCTCCAGAAGCACAAGGCCCAACCCGACCACTGAGACCACAAAATGGCTGCCGGCAGCTTCGTCACGTGACCCCTTTGTGCCTTTCGGGCTCCCGAACTCCGTAGGACCCGGGTACAAGTAGCCAGGGTCGGCGGGCGGCCTCAGAGGAGGTCCCGCCTAGCCGCGGCGGCCGGGATTCGAGGCCAGGGGAAGCGGGGTAAAGGGCCGGCAACGACTGAGAGTCGGCGGCGGAGAGAAGATGGCGGCCATTTTGTGTGGGTTTGGTGCTCCGCCGCCGCCGCCGGCAGCGGAGGGAGCGGGGCCTGGCGGTGGGTCGGACAGGGGAGTTAACACGTACCGACTCCTCTTCCTTCTCCATTCCGGTGGGCATCTGCGGCACGGCTCGGTTTATCGAGGCGTATTCGTGCAGGTCGGGCAGATCCTCACAGCGGAAAACCGGCAGCGGCTTCGAGGCGTCTAGCGCCCGCGCCCGAAACGACAGTTTACTCATCTCAGGCGCAGCAGATACCTCTCTGCTCTGGGGAAACGGCCCCGGCCAGCGGGATCATGGAGAACCGGGGGATCGGTCCCCACTCGTCTGCCGCTGCCGGGGACTTGAGGGGCGGAGCGCAGAGCTCGCCGTCCGGGCCTTAACAGCAGCCGGGAGGGTGGGAGGCTGTGCCGCTCCGCGCCTCTCTCGCTCGCTCTCTTCAATACGCCATGGCCAACATGGCGGACATTAAAACTCCACTGTGCGCTCTTCAGCCAACCCCAGCCATTCCCCACACTGCA